TAGGGTAGGGTGGGTAGGGTAGGAGGAGAGAGAGAGAGAGAGAGAGAGAGAGAGAGACCTATATCTGTCTGAAACCAGTGACTAATTTCACTTAGGCTACCAAATAGAATTTGAATGTTGTCTCTTTTGCCTACTACTGACTGATTTAAAAACTCTCATCCTATTACACAATCCCTGTAACTACCTAGATGCAGGACCGCATGTGGTTCTGCCTTGGTTTTGCTTGGTCCAAAATCTGTATCTTGTAGTATGTGTTAGCTCAAAATGTGGGGGACGAAAGGAACTGAATGACAGTTCTCAACTCTATCGGTCACAGACCTCATCATAGCGTCTGTTCACGTAGGAAGAGAAAAGGGCTTTATTTTTAAAGACTCGCTCCGTATTTTTTTTCACAGAGGAGAATACAAATGGCATGTAAATAAAATCCAATTCTTGTTGGGTTAGCTGAAACTCTGCATTCCCAAGCCAGACTAGAATGACTAATGTAGACTCTGGGAAGCTCTAGTATGGAAAAACTTTTATGTACCAAGAAATCATGACCGGTGAAGTAACACAAAGCCTAAAATCCTTGTTCTCCTTTTTGTTCTCTAGCACACTGAAACTTTGGGACTACAGCAAAGGAAAGGTACAGTCACAATCTCTTACTATAAAGTCCTAGCTAGGTTTGTAGCCTGCTTTGGATGGTTTCACATAAGGTTAAGCTTTTTCTCGGTCATCTGTACAATATAATTACTATAAATAATTTGTTACAGCCCTTGTTCTATAGTAGTGGACTAAACGGGATCATTTTAAAAGTTCCTTTACATTTTTATGACGCCCAGAGACATTGAATTCTATGTTTCTTGAACTGGTAAATTGTTCTTGCCTTGTTTTTTCTGTGGGTGGAAGTGACAAATCGGGGTCATTTTCTCTCCCCATCCTCCCAGGGAAGTGATTGGTTAGCATTCTAGGGCAGTGATGCCCTCTGCATCCTCTGGATGAGTTGATGGGGGTGGGAAATGTGCACAGATGTATTTAGTCTGCCCTGCAAAGGGAGTTTGTCCTTGACTGCTAGATATCTCATTGCCAGCTGCACTTACTGTTTTTTTCCCTTCTGGCTCTTCCCTTCCAGTGCCTGAAGACGTACACAGGTCACAAGAATGAGAAATACTGCATCTTCGCAAACTTCTCCGTCACTGGTGGAAAGGTTGGGGATTACTGAGCTGCTTTTAGGGATGTGATGCATTTGAGGATTTATTTTTCATCAAAATTAAGGGGATGATGCAAATCTTTCTGGGCCCATAAATAGCTGACTTGCCCTTAGTGAGAACTGTGTTCGCCCTGGAGGGAGCCCCGTATAACAAGTGCTACAATTAATGTTGCAAACTTCCAAGCAATGAGGAGGGATTGTAATAGAGCAACGGTCCCAAGGTTTCATTGGAAACTTTGCTTGCTGGGGGCTTGGTCGAAAGGGACCATTTGGGGGAAAGTTTTAGCAAACTCCATTCAGCTGTGTGGGTGCTCCAGGGTACCTGTTTGCCACAAGTGCCCGTGTATGGTCAGTGCTTAGAACTGTGCCAGGTTTAATGTACCCCAGTAATGTAGGGAAAACCTCCGTGATGAGCAGCCATATGAGTTCATAATACAGCACCCGCCTGTTACGGATTGTGAGTTGCTATGTATGAGTCTTGGTTGAGATGCTGTCTCTAGGACCACAGCATCCCTGTGCAGGAGAAGGAGCTTTCTTGAGGGGCCATTCTGAGATTCTCCCAAGGACTAAGATCCATCTTAAACCACCCCCCCTTCTGCTTCGAGGGCTAAGCCCACTTCTGCAACCAGCCTTTTTGGCCTTTGGCATGGCCTAGCGGAAGGAGCATGGGACCAGGATTCAAGAGACCTGGGTTCTATTTCTGTCTCTGCCACTGGCCTGCTGGGTGATCTTGGGCAAGTTACATCCTCCTCTCTCCCCACCTGGCCCTGTGCCTCCATTTCCTCATCTGTAAAATGGGAATAATGATCCCACCCTCTGTGAAGTGCTTTGAGAACCACGTATGAAAAGCACTGTAGAAGAGCTAGATCATATGATTTAAGACAGAAGAGTATGGATGTGAAAACAAACCCCAAGGCCTACCGAAACAACATACTCTACTGCACACTGTTCTCCTTGCCCCAGGGGGTGCGAGAAAGGACCACACATGACTGATGTTAGCCATGTTGCTTAATGCACAACTGGAAGGCACTCAAGTGCTATGGTGATGAGGGTGGTATATGAACCTATATAGAGGAAATAGCAATTAAAGCTGGGGTGGCAGGAAAGACTAAAATGGCACTTCAATAACTATTTCCCTCTGCATTTTTTCCAGTGGATTGTGTCTGGTTCAGAGGACAACCTGGTTTATATTTGGAACCTCCAAACAAAAGAGATTGTACAGAAATTACAGGGACACACAGGTGTGAATCTGCTTTTTTGTTACACTGATTTTGATTAAGCGTTCCTTAGCTGTATAAATAACGAGCACATAGCGTTTAAGGTTAATTTGATGGTGTGAATTGGAAATGTCTGTTTTAGTGTTTGCTTAGAATTTGACAGATGGGATTAGTATAAAGATCGGCCTGAATGGGGCATGATTAGGACACATGGTGTGTTTTCCCTGACACTTGATGGGCATTTTTACAGGAATTATTGTCATATCAGAGACATTGTTTTCCTTGAATTATATGGAAAGAAATTGGCCAAGATTTTCACAAGTGTTGCGTGACATGACTAGTGACTTGGGGAACCTCACTTTGGGAAACCCTTGGCCATTGGCTCCTCCCAAAGCTGCACTTGTCCAAGGACGAGTTCCAGGTGAGCTTGAGGCATCTTTAGAGACACTGACCCCATCTGCAAAGAGTCTTGAACACTTAGCCCCTGCCCCTACAAACGCTTAAGCACATGCTCGACTTTACTTACACGAGTAGTCAGGGGCGTGATCCATGTGAATAGAATTATGCGCGTGCTTAAGCATTTGCATGATCAGTATCTTAGGGCCAAATCCTGCAGATTTATGCACCTACTTAAACCCCTGTGCACTGAGCGTGCCCATTGAAGCAAATAGGACTGTTCGCAATCTGTAAAGTGAAGCATGTGCGTAAATCTTTGGAGGATCAGGACTTTCAATTGTGAGTTTGGGGCACTTGTAGCTTAATCAACTATCTGCTTTGGTGGGCTTTTCTCTGTCCGCATTTACACCAAGAAACCCTAGGCCTGCGATGTCGTCAGAACATCGGGTCTGTCTGGTTCTTTCCTACAGCACTGCTGTGAAATAGTTCCCTGAGTTCGGCCTGTTGTAATATCGTATAAACTTTCACCCACTCTCCAGCTATTAAATTCACAATTGGGGTAGGCCCACTAACATTTGTATTCATAAATCCATCATACTCATATGTCAGTATCTGCTGTTGAGAGAGAACCTGGCCATGTCTTACGAGGGGGCAGCTCTGCACATTTGAGCTGAAAATACCTGCTCTGAACCAAAGCAGCTTGGACTGCTATAAATAATGACCTCTCTCTCTCTCTCTCTCTCTCTCTCTCTCTCCTTTTATTTAGATGTTGTGATCTCAACAGCTTGTCACCCAACAGAAAACATCATTGCATCAGCGGCACTAGAAAACGACAAAACAATTAAACTGTGGAAGAGTGACTGTTAAACACTTCCAGTATCACTTTAGAGACTGTCAGGAAAATTGTGGTTTTTAAAAAAATAAAAATAAAAAAATCTCCCCCCTCCCGCCCCCATGAGAATAATAATAAAACCCAGGTTGGCAGGAAACCTGAAGAATATTTGAGAAAGCGGTTTCTGTTAGTCTTGACCCAAAGAGAATGTCTTAGCTTGTTGCGAGAGCCGGGCAGTGTGGTGGAAAAAAGAGGCCGTCTCTCTCTTTTCGTGCCTGATCACTTGGCAGACAAACGGATCGTCCTAACATCGCATTAGGAGTATCAGCCTTGAATTGGAAGCCCCAGAGATACTGTACTTTGTGGTGAAGGTGTCATTGCTCCTTGGCTGTCTTGTTGCTGCTTAAGGAGGAGCTGTCGGTCTGTTTTGTAACAGTAAGTTAAGTCGTAATACTAGAAATACTTGGATTTTTTTTTAAATGTCTAATTTTTATTTTTTTTATTTTTTTAATTTTTTTGCAGACCGGTAGGTTCTAGTCTATCAGAAGTTTCTCTTTATTGTTTTGAATAGGAGTGCTGCATCTTTAAGGATGCCTCATTTTAAACACTCAGCTCAAACTTTGTGACCAAATAAAACCATCCAGTTCCAGAGTTCCCTTTCCTGCCCCAACTTCAGACTCCCGTGGTGAAATATCTACTCTTACTTCTGTATAGTTGCTGACCTTTCGTTACGTGTGTTTAATAGATGCTGTTATAGAACAAAGTTACAGCTTTTTTTTTCTGTTAACCATTAAAATGATTCCTGCTTGTAGTTGTTCTCAGCATATTTTACATTTTTTTTTTCTCTGCTGGAAAAAAAGCAAGTTCACAAAATATTGTAAAGTTAGTTCAGTGTAGGGGGAAAAAAACAACCACCCCAAACAATTTTGTATCTTGGAAATCCATCGTATCGACCTGTGTTGCTAATAGCATGACTCTGTAACGATTTCAGCGTCGCTATGTCTTTTGCCCTTTTTTGTCACACGAGTGTGGTATTGACACATCCAAGCCAGAACGATATGCCATAATAAAAAGGTGGGATTTTATGTGTATGCTGGTGGTGAGAGTGCACTAATGTGAAGTGTCCGCGTCCCTTCAGCTCACAAGACGTCCTCCAAAACCAACTCTTTTTTTGCAGCCCACTTCTGCTGTAGAAGTTTTACCAGATCACTGACCCCAATATTTTATAAGAGGGGGCTAGAGTCCGTTTTGTGGAGGGAAGAGATGAGCAGAACTCCAGTCCAGATGCACTTGAAAGAAGCCAGCAGAGACAGTTATGTGGAAGGAGTCCTCAGCTTGAGGCAACACATGTAAACTATCACAGGGACTAGAGCGGGGTGGCCAACCTGGGCCTGAGAAAGAGCCAGAATTTACCAATGTACATGGCCAAAGAGCCACAGTAATAGGTCAGCAGCCCCGCATTAGCTCCCCCATGCCTGCCAGCATCCCCACTGATCAGCACCTCCCCCTCCCTCCCCATGCCTCCCACAGTGTGCAGGAGGCTCTGGGGGGAAGATGGGAGGAGCGAGGGCACGGCAGGCTCAGGGGAGGGGGCAGGAGTGGAGTGGGGGCAGGTTTTGTGGCAGAGTCAGGGGTTGAGCAGTGAGCACCCCCTGGCACATTGGAAAGTTGGTGCCTGTAGCTCCAGCCCCGGAGTCGGTGCCTATAGAAGGAGCCGCATATTCATTTCTAAAGAGCCGCATGTGGCTCCGGAGCCACAGCTTGGCCACCCCTGGCTGGACTAGACTCTTACCTAAGGTGAAAAGAATTCTGGACCTTCTGCTGCCCTATCTATAGAGGAAGCAAAAGTCTCAAATGCTAAATAATCGTTGGGTTAAAGGATTACTGCATCTTCCAGCAGGCAAACAGGAGTTTGAGAACTAGCTGGAGATTAATCTTGACCATTTGCAACAAAAAAGCCTAGTAGCCAAAAATAGGCAAACAACTGCCATAAAACAAGACTCGTCTCAAACCAAACCTTGGTGGGGCAGAAGATGTGAGAATTTTTTTTTTGCCTAGGGTGTTCCTTCTGACTGCACTTTCTGCTCTTGTGGAAGCAAAAGTGCCCAATTCCGGCAGCCCCATTTTTGCATCGAATCTTAAACTTTGCACTACTTATTTGAAACTCCCTGTATTTCCCATGAGAAGGGATTTTTCAGTTAGTGAAAGGCAGAGAGTTTTAACCATATTGATGATTGCCTCTGCTACACAACAGTGTGAGAGGGTACAGGGCACTTAGAGATAAGTTGCTTCATTCTGTTTCTTTGTGTGGATGATCTGAAGGGGAGAGGGCTGTGGAAACTGATGTTTAACACCTTAAGTGTATTAACTTCCCAGTACAAAGTGTGCACCTGCAAAAGTTACTTCAGAATTCAGCTACACGTGAGCTGGTTTTCTGGTAAATAAAGGGAATCCCATGTGTAAGCACGACGCTCTTGGGAAAACAGCTGCAGAACAATCTCTTGCCTGAGTTGGTTTATAAGACAGTCGGCTACTAATGGAATTTTCTGAAGAATCAGATTTAGTTTAGGTGTAGAGATCCTGTCAACTTTTTCATATACTCTTTTTTTATTTAATACGTGGGAGTAGTTTAACAGGCTCTCTCCATAGTCAGGTGCTTTAGTGAAGAACCTAACCCAGCATGGACCAGTGGAAACAACCTGATGCAGAGTGGGCCCAAATCTGAAACACTTGGTGGTGTTGGCATGTGGCTTACTAGCTTCTCCACTCCGTGTTCAAATTGAAGCTGGAAGCTACATATTTTAATTTGTACCATCTAGTATGATGAGACATTTAAGGGTCAATATTTTTTCCTGCATAAATATAGGGTTCAAGTTGGGCTGTACCAAACTGGCTGTTAAGCCAGCCTTACTCCTCCTGTGTTTTTCTCATTGCAGCCACTCGTAGTACTGAAACCAGGGAGCACTGTGTCCCTAGTTAGATTCCCCCCACTTTGGAATTGCTGTATGTATCAGTAACACCATGTAACAAGAATCCTCCTGTGAGATTCTGTTCCTATAAGGTGCTATTCACACAGTCGAATGTAACTTCTTAAGGTTCTTGAAATAAAACTATCCTGTTTTTTGTGCTATTGATAGTAGTAACATCCACTCCTGACTAAACGACTTGTCATGTTCCTATTGCATTCTACCTGGTAAACCTACACCATTAAACGCTATTCCAAAATGTTGAGTCAATGTCTTTTAACTCATTACGGTAAATACCTAGTAGAGTTTCAAGACGGCTGATTCAGCCAGGGTGTACGGCTGGCTTGCCGATTGTTTGCACGTGAGGGGATTCACATGCAACAAACAGTTTCTCCAACAAGGGCTTCTGTTTAGCTCAGGGGGATTCTGCCTGGGAATAACAAAGCGTGTGTAACTAGAGGACCTACCCCTGATTTTATAACTGTAGCTTCTGTTTGTTCTTCGCTCTTTGACACATGGCAAATCACTTGTGAACTGATTGCTAAGAGTTTGAGCACTAAAATCCCTGCTAGTCAGTAGGAACTGCAGATGCTCAACACCTCTGAAAATTAGGTTGTGGTAGGTTCCTTATCTGTGAAATAGGGAACATGTGCCCTACACACCTGTCTTGTGAGTGCCGCGTGTTGAACTCGGAAGGAAAGCACTGTAGAAATGAGAGTATTAACCCACAACCTTCTAATAAAAATATCTTCTTACCTAGCCCAGTGCTACCATCCCTGCCTGAGTGGCTAAACTAAGTAATAAAAGGGATAACTTCCTCCTCCCTGGAGCGTAGTCTCTGAGACAGAGTTCAGATGTTCACTTTTAGAGGCTCCAGTTAGGCAGGTGTTCATCAGTTACCAGCAAATAATCCAGTTAATGGGATTCTGAATCCATGCAACATGGGAGAATTAATGTCCTGATGTGTGTGCCTAAACTACAAAAAGCAAATTACACAAGGATCATTCAGCTGGCGTCAAGGGCAAGGAAGTACTACATTGTTTAGTGCCTGTGTGTACTTGTGTAGCCCCAATCATGACCCAAGAGCCTTTTGTGCTAGGCACTGTACAAATAGAACAGAAACGATGGTCCCTGCTCCAAAGAGCTTGCAGTCTAAGTATGAGATGAGATAGTTACAGAAAGATGGGGGTATACAAGGAAACAATGAGAGAATACATATAGGGCTTGGGATTGAACAAGCATTATCCAGGATCTCAACCAAGTCAGGATGTTGTCAGACAAGCCTCTGCTGCAAATTTTCTCCCTCCACACCATTGCAGAGCATGCTGTCCACCTGGTTACTGCCCTTCTCTGTGCACAGAGCATTTCAGAAGTGCTGTGTGTCCATTTTCAGCGTCTGACCTAGTTGGACTAGGAACGGCTGTAGTGACATGTCACATCCAAATCAGCATTATGACACGATGGTGCATCACAATGTAATAAATGCTGCGTTGTGCGGATCCTGAAAGTTGATTTGAGAATTCGTGAATGCCCCACAGGTCTTGTGGGGCACAGAGTTGTGGTCTTGAAATACAAGGCTGTATGTGTGTCATCACAGCCATGATTTCTGAGAGCAAAACAAAAATGATTTGTTCCTTAGTTTTTCATTAAAACTCCTGGGTTTTGTCATCCTAGCCAGCCTGATTTAGAATGAGCTCAACTCCACCATGAATGATCTAATCTTTAGTAAATTATTAAACTATATGTGGTCTACTGGAGTTTTCCAATGGGGTTTAGATCTTTTAAAAATATTTCAGATTTTCAACCACTTTTATTATTAATATTATGGTAGTGCCCATCAGGCAATATGCAAACATGAACAAGAGAGAAAATAGTCTAATACATAGCAAATGCTGATTGCACATTTTGAGCATTGTGAAATATCCTCTATTCAGGGCCGGCTCCAGGCACCAGCCCTCCAAGCATGTGCTTGGGGCGGCACCTGGATGGGGGCAGTGCTCACCCGGGCTCGCCGCTCTTCCCCAGCGCTCTGGCCGGCCGGGGAGAGCGGGGCCGCGGCCGGGCTCTCCGCCCTCCTCCCAGGGCTGCGGCCGGTCCGGGAGAGCAAAAAAGCCAGAGCCGGCCCTGCCTCTATTGTGTACCAGGACTTCTCCATCTATCTAGAAAATGATTTTTGCAATGATTTTTTCCCCATTTTTTTTTAAAAAAACCATCACACACATCCAGCCACTGTATCATAGTATGACTATATAGTTAAACGTGTTTGGGCATCTCCTGGATGAAGGGGTGGGTGGGTTATATTGCACTATAAAAATGGAGTAATTTCTTTGATGCAAAGTCTCAGTTTTCACTGTTAAAATGGGATTAACATATCAACATTTATTTCTGTTTTCAAACCGTGGACATGATCATGCATAAAACCCACGCTTGACAGAACTGGAAATCAGCAGGGGAAAATGGCCTTGCTGAGCTAATTTTACTCTGTGGTTTTACTTGTATTTCTATGATACTTTGACTTTATTGCTGCATTTCACAAATGATCTTTTTTAGTGGCGATATGGGATTATGCTAAACCAACCAGTCTTGCCCATTGCAATGGCTATTGTCCTCTACTGGCCTATGACAGAGCAACAACAACAAAAAAAACTTGGTTAGATGCCACGAAGTAAGTGGCAATGCCTTAACCATATGCGTGTTGTAAAGGTCACTAGGACCTCTTCCATCCTTATCAAGGGGAGTGCTAACCTTCTCTCCTTTCATACAACACAAACACTGGGCACAAGCCCTAAGCTTTTAAATAGCTGGAATACTAAAGATTTTACAGTTATGGAGACTAAAGACATACAATTTAAAAGCAATTAAATAGCATGAAGAGTCAAATAATAATATTTTAACTGATTCATAAAACTAGTATGTATTGACTAACCTGGGATTGTCTCTTGGTAATGTGATTCAGAAGCCGACTAATTCAATAAAGCGAATAAAACTAGGCTGTTGCCCGGCTCTCTTTCTCTAATATATTCATCGCTTTTAGCCAATCAGAATACAGGAGTCACATGATTCGGATACAAGGCGGGGGCTGAATTTTAGCTCCTAAAAATACGATAGGATCCTGCTTTCGGCTG